CAGCTGTTAAATTGTTTTTTTTTTTTGGGTTGCCAACACTTTACTGCACAAATGGCGGCAAATTCAAATCTTGCGTTAATTTTGGGACACCCTTTATTATGTGTTGATTGAATAAATTTACTACACGCATATCCAGTGTTCGGGTCATTTATATATTTGTGGCTTGTTTTTATACAATATCAGCTAAAAATTCTACAAGTGCGAAAAATTCTTACAATTTTCTTTTTAAATTGCATAGTTTAAATAATGGTGACTATAATATTATTGATAATATTACATTGTTTTGTAATTTTCTAAATCAGTTTTATATTTTTTCTTTCTTTTATTTTTTTCATAATACGGTTTAAATATAAGATCGGAGTACAACGTAACCTGTCTCTAAGACAGACCATAAGCTAACTTAATTTTTATAATGTCAAGTAGTTGTTATCAGAGCTGAAAACAATCATGTATTTATGGGAAATCCTTCAAAAAAGAAACTGTAATATTATATATTTGCATCTTGCAGAACAGCAAAGTATTCACATAAAGTATTCATATAAATGAAAAACATTTTATATAAAAGTGAAAAGATTCTAAAAATTTTTGTATATATAATATTCACATGTAGATATTTTGTACAGATGACTCCTGAAAAAAAAAAGAATGGGAATATGTAGCATTATTGCCTATCGTGTTAGTTTTGAGACCTATTTTGTCCAACGATCATTTTTGCTTATCTTACGAAAAAGTTCATTATTGCAAAATTGCAAACAGTATTATAAAAGTTGCTTACATTATTTGATAGAAGATATTTTCTAGTGTAGTAGTCTATTTTGTATTTGTGTTTATAAAGTTTTTAGCTTTTGTTGGCTAAGAAATATTGCCTAAAAACAAAGTGATTTAGCGTTCATAGCAAATTTTTTCTTTCCGTATATTTATTTTAAAAAATTTAGAAAAAAAGTTAGAACTTAAGATACGAAGCGGCTACCGGTCTGAGTATTAAGATGTTGAACTACTATTATATATATTATATATTCATTTAAAACGAATTAATTTTCAGAAATAATAATTGCATGCCGATAAGACATTCACACAATCAATACGAAACAAGTAATCCCCCCAAAAATTTCCCAAATCTTAAAAAACTGTAATAAACTTATTGCGAAAAATATTTCCTCGGCCGGAAGTCGAACCCGGATCTCTTGCATTCCGTATGAGCGTCCTAAGCTTTAGACTACCGAGACCCTAGCAACATTCTTCGCAATAACCGATATGCATAGAGAGTTACGCATTATAGATGAGCGTGTATAAATAATGTGATTGGAAAAAAAGTTAGTTATAATTGAGTATGTTTTTTCGGTCGTAAAAAAGTGATTTCCATGTAAAAATATATTAATTTTTTTCAATACAAGGACTTTAACCAAGTGGATAGATCACGATCTCGAGAAGAGATCTGCCATACGAATTATATGGAAATTGATCATAATTTCGATGATCATCAAAAAAAAAAATTTTTCAAAAAAGAAGCCAATTTAAATTAAGAAGAAGATAAGTACGTCGAATAAAACACTCATTGAATTTTAACTGTCAGAAGATTTCTGTATCGGAGATATGTACTTGTCTTCTGATTACTTTTTTACGACCGGAAAAATTCTTAATTATTAACTTTTTTTCTAAATTTTTTAAAGTGAAAATATATGGAAAGACAAAATTTGCTATGAACGCTAATTCTTTGCCACAATGCCAAATTTTATTTGCAAATTTAGAGATCGTAAATTATTTGCAGATGTAACAAATATTTTTTTTATATTCACTACAAGAACTATTTGCAGTAAATACAAAATATTTGCCAAATATGCATATCTTATTACAAACAGCAAACAAATTTTGATAATTAAATTTGCAATTCTTTTGCGTTTATAGCAAAATCATTTTTTTAAATATACATATCAATGGTAAAATATATGTGAAAGTATTTTTATGCAAAAATAACTTGTAGTTTTAAATTTAAGTAATATTTTTACTTAAATTTAAAACTACAAGTTATTTTTGCACGTATAAATGAAAAAAAAAACAGTTTCAGTGAAATTATAAAAAATAATAAAATTTTACATTTGTTGCGTGATTATTATATCCAATCAGAATTTGTATAACTCGACACGCCGAAAAAACAATGGACAAGTTCAAGTTGATAAAGCGGCTAGGTCTACTCGCCAAGCAATTAGATACGATTGGTTGGATCTACAGGTAAGAACCAATCATATTCATTCGCTCGGCAAACATGTCTAGCCCCTTTACCGGCTTGAACTCACTCATTTTACATTTTGTGTGTAAAATTTAATGGGATTCCGAAAATATATACAGCATGTGAAATTAATATAATGTGTTTTTCATGTGAGTTGCAATATTACATGATTATACTAGGTCGGAAAAAATCTAGTGGATAAAAGATAGTAAATCATATTAATCTTATAAGCCAATCTTATCGGAATTTCACTACGTGTCGTTGAACTTCGTTTGGCCTTCGACGGGATATCCGGTCTTTCTCTGGAAAGTCCAAACTCAAAATAGCATCTCCGCGCGACGTCAGAAATAAACTACTTATACTTTATGACCATGTTCTTACGTATTGTAAGTACAGTGAAATGCATTGATATTTAAGATTGATTTTCTAGAGTTGATAAAATTATTAATTTAATTTATATCTTTGAATTCTTTTTTAATCATCTTTTTATTTATTCAAATTGCTAAGTCATTATATACATGAAAATAATTGGCTGAAGTATCTAAAAGATTTAAGTAAATATACATGAAAGAAACTTGGTTCATCAAAATAAATTATGTATAGGAAGTTCAATCATAATGAGTAATGTTGCAAAAAGTTTAGACGTTCTGTCAATTAGTTTGAGCGTTTTACATCAATATTTTGATAGTCCATCCAAAAATATTTTCAGATCTTGCTTAAATATTTAAGCAAAATCGTTTTTTTCTGCGTATAAATGTGTTTAATACATAAATTTTAATCTTCCTGTTTATATATATATATATTGTAATTACGATACATACCATCATTTAGATAATAAAATGACATATTATTAATTAGATTTCAGTACAAATAAATAATTTCTCAATTATAACAAATAATATTCTATTCTTTAAACGTTTAAACAATGATTCTAAAAAATAGATACTACATAGAATAAATAAAATACCTGTTTGAAATTCTTGGATGAGATTTAAAAAAAAATTTAATCATGGCTGCTTTCCATAACTCTCTTTTTCTGAACGAATATTATTTTTTATAAGTATATTTTAGATCTTTTTATGTAAATCGATGATTAATAATTATCTCGTTCGCAACTCAGACATCGGCGGCGAATATCTCACGAAATTTGTATAAAAAGGTTTCTGACAAATGTTTCTCTGTCAAACAATTGCGTTTCACATTTATAATTTTTTGCTAAAACACAGTGATGTATGAAAGTTGAATCAAATTGAGGCAAAAATGAAATCACATCTGCGGGAAAAAAATTTTCAGACTCAATTTGTATCTGTATTTAATTAATAATACGTAGACATTTGATGAGTCAGTGACTTTCTTTTACTTTTTTTTTTAACTAAAAATCGACTTATTTTTTAACATAGTTTTGTTTTAAAAAATCACTGATTTGTTAAATTCCCCACGTACATTACTTGACTAATTCTGATTGATGTAAAAGAGCGGCTAGTACATGTTTCCGCCTTTCTGATAATTATTCGCTTTTTAATATATGATGACATTTTGTGCGTTGGATAGAATACGTAAAGCTGTAACATGCCGATCGTGAGCAATTCCATGTAAAATTCGCATAATTTTCTACGAATCGTTCAACGCATCGTG